GGTGCTGTATAATTTTGTTAGAAAGACCACTGGATGTAACTTCAAAAATCTAAAGAATTCAACCTCAAAGTGCTAAACAATGCAGAATATCGCTAACGAACTAAGACTTTAATTTCTGTTGTTTCTGAAGTCGTCTATTCTGATAAAACATGAATAGCAGGTCTGTTGGTATAAGAGGAGTAAACAAACATGATATAATATTGTTTGAACATTATTCAACTAATATCAGTAATGGATTCTCATATTCTATTAGCAATATAATACATCTCAGTACTTTCTTTCACGTTTTTAATGAGTTTTCTTAGTTTAAAGATGAGATTACATGACGTCTGCTGTTCTCTACCTTATTTGGTTAATGAAATTATATGCCGTATAATTAATAGATTACAATTTTCCATTGTCAATATATTTACTCTTTGGTTCAATGGGAATGGTTCATAAAAACTAACCTGTCTCATGAGGGTCTAACTTGGTTTTAGGATGAAATGTTAACAAGTTCTAGAGTGATTACATTAAAAACTCAAAACAAGTTTTATAGGGAATACACTATAAACTCAAAACAAGTTTTATAGGGAATACATTATAAACACAAAACAAGTTCTAGAGGGAATACATTATAAACACAAAACAAGTTCTAGAGGGAATATACTATAAACTCAAAACAAGTTTTATAGGGAATACATTATAAACACAAAACAAGTTCTAGAGGGAATACATTATAAACACAAAACAAGTTCTTGAGGGAATATACTATAAACTCAAAACAAGTTCTAGAAAGTCTACATATATAAAAAAATTCTATAAGGATTGCACTATAAGGTTTATAAGTCTTAAGTTTCAAGAGGCTAATAACCTGTGTATATATTTCAGGTAATTATTTATTTATTAACAATATACCTACCTACCTGCTATACCATAATAAATAATCCACAACACTGATTATATCACGCAATATATGTTTCTAACTATAAATATACTCAACACCAGTATATCAAGTTAGATATAAAAAGAGAAAGTATTGATTGAAATCTATCAATATTATTTCTATTGATTTAATAATAACATTACCACGTTTTACTTCAACTTTACTTTCAAATAAAAAAAATGTCAACATATCACAAAGAAACATAAAAACGAGAGCCAATGTTGAACTGTGGGCAACTTACATTCTGTTGCAACTCAGAGAATTTAGAATCTCCGGATTTGTCAAGTGATTTCAGGTATATATAGTTGTTATAAGAGGTTGTTGTTATGAGGGGCCTTGTTGTATATTTGATTAAAGTGTTGGATTCTAAATATGACATCATTTGCTTGGTTATGTAGCACATGTAGTAGTCATGGGTTCTTATCTTGGTGAGCATCTGAAAGCCTGGTGACCTAGAATATGTCATCTTTCCTCATTTTTCCTCTAAACCCAGCAGATACCAGCATAATCTGGCAAAGATCAATGCCAAGAGGTTTGCCAAGAACTGCGTGACCTATCTTTCAGAGAGTCTACATACATACTTGATATTTTCAGTTTTTTGATGACCAAGTGTCTCAGTCACCATAACCTACACCTATATCTGTCAATATTTACCTATCTTCAATTGTTTATCATGATATCTATATAAGAAACTAAAAGATATTCAGTGTTATATATGGTTACAGTAAATACTAGTCACTAGTTGAACAACTAGGGTAAATAATGTTACTCATATAAATACATAACTACACCCAAAACCTGGTCATATCTTTCATATTGTCATTCAAATATGACAAAAAACTTGAATCTGAAGTTTTTAACATTGAGCTTTATCAGATGGTAAACCCACAAAAAAAGACCATAAAATTTAATCAAGAAGATGGAAATTCTTACACAATACAAAAGGAAAGTGATCTCACAGTGTCAAAACCCTGTAGATATGTGTTCAATGGGATAAAAGATTATTTCTGAGCTACAGATATTTTAAAGCTTGCTTGCATATCTGTTTGGAGCTGGAACACTCGGCAATTAAAAATATCAAAGTTAATAGATTCATACAGTAATTCAATTTTCTGTTTTGTTCAGAATTCAGCTGTTATATTGCCTTGTAAATTATTATATTTTATGTATTGTGGCTCTCTGTTCATAATGTTCAATTTCAGCAACAGGCCCCAGATATCAATTATTTCTCTATCTAAAAACAATTACTACTGTATCAAGTAATTACTGTTAATGTAACATATCAAATAATCAATTTTTCATCAATAATTACTTAATGGTATTACTTAATATGTTACAAATCTACTGTTGATATCAATGGAGAATATAGAAGAAAAACTGGATATGAATTTTGCTGGCATCACAGCTTTTAATCTATTATAACTTAATGGTATTACTGAATATAAATCAATCAAAAAAATTATCTGATCTAAAAATACATCAATAAAAACACTGATTTTATCCTGTTCCTTTCATACAATCAAAATCTTCTTAGATAAGCATGAGTGGAACATGAGCAACCTGTCACAGACGTAAACCAGTTGATACAAAAACCTTTGATTCCAAGATATTCTTTAAGATGGCAAGACCTCAAGTATAACAAAAGCAAAATACTATTTTTTTTTTTTTTTACCTTGCACAAGAAAACCTGCATTGTTCAGGCCTAGACCTGTGATGTGCAACAATAAATTTTGGAATTTTAGTGTAAATATCATAAGAAACTTTCTCAAGAAGCACAGATCCAGCCATGGAACTTTACATGTCGAATATGCTAAATTCACTTGTTTTAAACTCAAAATGCAAGGTGTGCTTTGAATATGTTAATGACCTCCATACTATAAGTATAACATTCTGATGATAATTAGCAAAGTGAATATGATAGTATTATTGTTAAACATTAATATCTTGTCCTGTCTGTAGTGTGTTAAATACTGAAAAAGCTGTGGTTTAAGTGACAATTGATAAAAACTAATCACTCAAATCAAAAACTAATCTAACTATTTAACTTACCTGATATAAAACACAGCTAAACAAAATAACACTAGGAAACACTGCAGGTCTTGCAAACTTTACAAAAACTGGTTTTACGTCTTTAGAGAGGTTTAATGTAAAAAATCAGAGGAAATCCGCAATGCAACTATCTATCATGTCACAAAGTAATGGAGATAAAACAGTTGAAATACCAGTTTACATCAGCCACTTGAAACATATTCAAACACGTTTTCCATGAACTATTGAAAGCTGACTTATTGAGAGTGAAAGGAATATTTATGAGAAATAAATCAGTATTCAATAGACCTGATTTGAAGACAAATAAAAACCACATTTACCTTGTATCTTATAATAACAAACTATACCATGCTAATATAGATTATTTCTCAACAATTTCACTGTCTTATTGCATATACTAGATCCAGTTTTAAACTTATTTTTCAACTTCATAGAAAATACGACATTCAGTTAATTCAAAATAATAAATTTAATGTAAATAGCGATGAGTTTTAGTCAATCTTGTCCACATTGGGCTCATTTAGAGGGTCTTAAAAGTACCTTGAGATTTTAATAATAGTTTCTACTAGTCAGAGAGAGAGGTTTGAGGACCTGGGAAAATTTCTTCGTGCAGAAAATGGATACTTTGAGTTGCATACTCGAGTTTTCTTTTTGCTAAAACTTATGGACTACCCTTTAATTGTAGACAAATTAAATGTCAAATTTAATTTTGGCAAGCGCTACAGAAAGGTTTATATGCAAATAAAGCAAAAATTTTGTTGGCTTTATCTTGATAATGCAGTGAATTAGACTCTCTTTTTAATGACATTTTAACAGAAAACATGTTTATTTACTAAACATTCTGAAAGGCGTCAAATATGCTTTGATGAGATCATGAGTTATCTGCTCTTCTTTACATTAAGATTTAATGCAAGACATTTTTTACGTGACTGTAGATAAAGGTAGACCAAAATAAAAAATCACAACAACAACAGTTTGTGTTTTAGGACAAAATATTTAAACTATCTCTTTCTTGTCTTTTTGGCAATTACATAGCCTGACAAAATGTAGCAATAGAAAAGGTTGTTTTTAATGCTTTTGTCCAAAACAAGTTGAACTTTTACTCACTTTGCAGGCAATGGTAGCCTGGAATTTATGGGTGAAATCTCTGCTAGTGTAGCACTAGTAAGTTTTTAGAAACAACGAAGTGTGCTTGTAATTTATTTAGCGATGTAGTTATATTGAAAAGGTTTCATGATATAGAATATTTGCAGCATACAAAATATCAATTATTTGTTGCAGTATAACAGAATTACTGCTCAATATAAATATATGTTGATATAGACTAAGATTAAATACTGTATATTTACTTGTACCTGTTCAGTTAAAATATTCAGTATGATATTAGATACAAGAAGTAATAGTAAATAAAGAGAAAGATAAATAGAGAAATTTGACAGTTTATGTGGTCATAACTTAGTCTATACATTACTGGTATATATATTTATATCATTTATAATTAATTTAATATCAATTAATTTAATAAACCATGTACAACAATTAAAATTCTAAAAACATCAGCAATTGTTGTCATAGTGAGCTTTTATGCAAGACAAGACTATTAAATACAGTGGACGTATAATTCCATAGATTAACTAGATTCTTAATTTAATCAAATTCAAGGGAGATAACTATATTTTAGTAAACTCTATGTTCAGAAAGTAATGTTCATGCTCATGGTCACATTATGGTAGATTAACAAACCATGGGCAAATTATAGTAACATTTTTATAGACACTTAGTATTTTTTTTACAAGAAACCTGATCATCTAAATTACAGGAATGAATTTAACCCTTAAACATGATAAGCCTACAGGGTACAATTCATGATCAATCAAGTAAACACAAATTTACAGTGAGCAAGGTGAATTATGCTTAAATATTGTTAGCTCCCTTTAACGATTAAATAAAACTACTGATACAGTGATTTATTAAGTGTATTTGATGAGTTGATCTCTTGTTATCTGCTGGTTAAAAGTGAGAAAATTTATAGTTGAAAACAAATTTCCTTATCTTTAGATTGTTCAAAGTGTGCTGAAGTGAGAAAATTTATAGTTGGAAACAAATTTCCTTGTCTTTAGATTGTTCAAAGTGTGCTGATAAAATGTAAGTGAATTGTATAATAGAGCACATTATAAATATTGGTAATATAAACTATTGTATGGTAGGTTTTGTTGTAAAATGAAATAAATCTGTAAAGTTTTTTATAGTGAATTGATGACTGAATTGTTTTGCAAGAATATACCATGTTGGAAAAATTAAAATTTTATTTGATTTAAAATCAGACAAAAATATACACTAACCTTGTATAAAGCTTTTCTCTGGTTCAGTTGGACTGCGGACATCTTTCTTTTTCATTGTGGACATACTGATAACAGATCTTCTATTTAATTCAAATTCTTGTAGAGTTTCTTGTGAATATTCATCGGATTCAGAATTCTTTGCTTTCATTGAAAAACTTGGTTTCTGCACCATTTCTGCAAACTGACGAGACTTCTCCATAATTTCTTCACTGTTACATTTCCGTGATCTCGGTGACAGAGGGCCACTCGGTGAGGTCGGTGAAGTAGGTGACATAGTTTTAAGAGGTTTAAAATTTGGTTTCTTCTCTTCGAACATTGATCTTTTTGTATCGAATCCTAGGGAAGAAGAATCTTCAAACTGAGAATCGGAACTGGATGATGATTCTACTGGTTGATTAGTAAAAGTTGTCTTTTCATTCTTATATGAAATGAGGCTAACTCCACGGTTACCATCTGCCTCGTCCGGTGAAGTCGGTAAACTTGTCATTATGCCACTGTCACCTTTAAATAAATTAGTATAAAGCAACCTGATTAAAGCATGGGTTAGCAAAATAATATAGCAAAATTTGTCAGCATAATTAAAAAAGCCAAAAGTGCATTTCTAAGGTTATGTCAAATCCCTTTCCAATGTGCAAAGAAACTCATTTTAAGCTTAAATAAATCCATGTGCTAATGGAAGTGACTCTATGCTGAATAAAATGTGAATTGCATTGCTAGAAGGTATTGTAAAGAGGTTTGTAGCTGGACATTAAATTCACTGTATTTACCAGACAGGTCTGATTGTCCTTCCAAAATGTCTTCCCCTGATTAGTTTTTTATAACAGTTCTTGAAACAATGTGCACTTTTTAAGGAATGTTCACTATTTTACAACAAATTTGTTAATGTATATTCATTTACAGAATACAATTTCTGTCTGTAAAAGTTAAAAATTCACAATACTATTGAGACATAGCTATTTCTTAAAAATCTTAATTTATACGTTGTCATATTTATATATTAAAAATTTAACTTACCACTAATTTGAATAAAAGAATTTTTTGAGACACAATATTCAGGTTGGCAGAGTCCTGATAGTTTTCAAAATAACAATATTCCAATTCCAATGGATCAAAATCAAACTGTTTTTGACATGTGTCATTTTTTAAGGGAGGACATGATATTTATAAATGATAACTATCAAAGTCTAACTTCACTCTTCAATGCTTTCTTATGGAAAATTTTACGCTTGACCTCAACAAGTTTTGTATTTTTTTCATTTTCAAGGCTCCTAGGTGGGGCAGATTCATTTGGAAACATCAAAACAATAGCTAAACCTCTTTACAATACCTTTAAATAAAACCATTAATCCAATACAAGCTTGATAAACAATTGCAATAATTCCCACATAAAATGTAAAAATTGTAAATCTTCTCAAAAATATCAATTCACTAATATTGAAATCTGTTCTTAAATCCAAAATATTCTGGTAATGAAAAAACACAGTATACAGCTAGTCATTCAAGAAAGCTAAATGTGAAAACGAAATTTTTGAGCCGAGGTTAAGAATATGAGGGTATACTATATAGCTGTATATAGATATTGTATTGTGTGAACAGGCTAGGGGTGCTTCATTGACATCAATTTTTGGGGCATTAAAAAAGAATATTGAAAGGAACTCTATTTTTCGTGTAAGATTTACATAACCTAGTTGAGAGATTTGAATACCCTGTTTTGTTAGTATATGTATGTATTATGTTTATAGTAAGTAGAAACACAATATCAATGTGAGACACATTTGTTTGATTTAAAATATTATATGTAACTTTAGTTAAGTCTAAGTTGCTTCTAGCAAACTAAAAAGCTATCTATGCAAGCACACAAAGTTTGCATAAATCTTCAAATTATTCATATACATTTTTCAATTCAAAAGGGGTTAAATGAACCTTTTTTTTGCTCCATTTTTAAAATATTCAGCCCCATATTTTATATGTTTTCAAGTTTGATTTTTTATTCATTTGGCAAATCCATTTTCATAATGTTAGATTAAATTTAAGAATATGGTTGGAAGATTTTTGCAACTTTTATTCTGTTAAACTAATCTATTTACTAGCATGCATCATAGCTATACAGGCTGTAGATATCGACTCTAAATCTGACATTTTTTTTTCAAAATTGGGGTTTTTAAATCTGAAAATTAATTAAATCAAAGCTGAAAACAAAACACACAACAAAACAGAACAGAAATAGCAGCATTTGATGATTAACTAGCAGCTCAATGGCAAAAACAGTCTGGTTGTTCCAAACACAGGTTTTGACTTAAGATGTTTGCTGCAATACCATGCAATGATAATGTTGTTGGAGGACATAATGGAAGACAAGAAACTGAATGTGATTTTGAGAATTTGTTGCAATAAATATGCCTTTTTGTGAATTTACATGCTCACATGGACAAATAACCAATCCAGGTTTTCCATCAGTTAACAAGTACCTGCTAATGATATGCTTGAGGAATGTGCAGCTTTTGAAATTTCCATTCATGAGCATCAGTATTTGCAGTAAAACGCTATGTATCAAAAATTGTGTTCAGAAATCAGATTCAGGCTGCAGTACAAACCTGGTGAAAAAGTGGCGCTAAATCCGTTCTGGTCATCATCATCAGTAGAAGTATCTGATTCATCAGACTCATCAACTTTAAATCCATTTCTGATTTTAATTTTCGATGATGCTTCTGTAACAACGACCCTATCACTATACTTTCTATTTTTCCTTTTAATGCCCATAAAGTCAGATCGTTTTTCAGAAATGTTTCTACATGCTTGCTCATTGTCAGAAAATGTCCTATTAGGGGGAGGGGGTTGACTATGATAATCTTGCTCATGATGATTATTATTCCTAGACGCTGATGAATGTTTGTTGTGAGAGATGTTAAAATGATTGTGGTCTGATAAGAAATCAGCTGTAGAATCTAAATCATTAGGGTTACCTTCAATTTCGTCGTATCGGCTCGCATTTAGATGATTCTGTTTATTATGATCTTCGTCATCGCTTTCCTGAATAGACATCTGATGTGGAACAGTGTATTCAACCTCGATTACTTCTTCAGGTGATATCTGTTCGTCATCCACTGGTGGAGCAGAGGCAAGTAATGTAGGTGGCGCTGATGACGGTAGCGGTGGTGGAATGGAATCAACAGAATCATAGGAGGAAATTGACATCCTATCGAAAGTATTTCTAGGTTTAAGTCCTACTGTCATTTTGTTATCATCTTGGTCATGGATTCCGTTGCTTTCAAATGATTTAGATGATTCTTCAATAACAACTGCTGGTTTTGTTGATTTGTAATTTTTATTTGTTTGTGGTGGATTTTCCCAACTTAAGTTGGTATCCTCCTCGAAACTGGTTTCTTGTTTGACACCAGGTGGCTGTGGTGCTGCTTTTTTCTTGGTACTAGAGTCACGTCTGATGGGTCTCTGTGGAGATGTTTCTCGCTTGTTTTCATTCATTTCTAAAGTATCGGTGATTTCTTTTAACAAGGGAGATAACTGCTCAAGATTATTGTAGTTGGAGTTTGTAAACAGAGTATTGGGTCTTTCTGCTTTTAATGGTTGATCTTCTAATGACCTACTATCTTTTTTACCAGTTGATTCATTATTAAATTCCAGAGAATCTTGCGAAATATTATGTTCCTCTTTCTTTGTTTGTAACTTCAGTTCTCCGTTCAATGGTGCATTAGGTGAAGATGGAGATTTTACTGAATTCTTTCGTTGTTCTTTTTTCCTTCTTGGTGGCGCTACAGGTGCAGGAGCATCAGATGGACTAATTGGAGGAGTTATTGTACTGGTAGGACTTAATAATGGACTGGATGTACTCAATGGACCGTTCTTAAATGCAGCAGCAGCAGATCTGTTTTCAATAACAGCTTCAGTAAAATGCTGATTGAAAGTGTTTTTGGTTTGGTTTGGAAGAAGGGATTGCTGAAGGTTAGATGTAGGACTCAAGGGTTGAGGTGAAATTGATGCGGGAGATGGTGGTGCAGGCGCTCTGGATTTTTTGACTGAAGGTCTGGTAGGAGAATTACCAGGGGAGGAAGCTTTGTTGTTTGGTTCACTTTTGTCGTTAATTTCTACTAAAGATTTTGAATCAGAAGTCACCCTTACGTCTCTAGAAATGTTTGGGCTAATTGCCTCAGACTGTTCGTTGCTGATTCTTGAGGATGCTGCAACTTCAAGTTTTGAATTACTGAGGTTTGGTTCTGACTTGGCTGCCCTTATTTTCTCCTTACCAGATTTTGGACTAGTTCGAGATGAGTTTTTATTGGGAGGTGAATTTTTGGAATGACTGTGCAAAGGAGGAAGAGGTGCAGGTGATTTTTTGGGTGATCTTTCTGGTGATTTGTTGAGTTTACCTTCTGATTTGGACCTGTTTTTCAACGCACTTGGAGAATAATGAGATTTGATGTCTTGGTATTTACGGCTCGGAGAAGATGGTGAGTAACCTTCTTTTGATGGATCAAAATTTAATGACCTTCGTTTCTGTCTGTATTCTCGTGCAGCTTGTGTTGCTTCAGCGCCATAATCAACGTGACTTCTTCGTTTATATGACTCTGGTGTAGTATTAGCGCTGCGTCGTCTCAGACTATCTGGAGTGCTGTCCAATGAACGTCTGTGGTGTCGAAATTGTCTCTCCTCTTCTTCTTTCACAAATTTCTTGGCCAGGTAATCATCAGGATTTCTCTGAAAAGATACAATTTTTGAAAAATTAAGACTCATGATTGATTGGTCACTTTCAAGGATGTAATTGCTTTGGTGAAAATTTGGAACTGAATGACTTTTTTTAAGTGGTTCACACAAACTTTCTGAGCCAACCCGATTCTTGCCACATGACTAACCATACCCTGCCAGAACCTTGATGAGTATCATACCCATTCTGGAACATCAAAAATATACTGGATAAATTGATGAAGAAATAATATCATGTCCTTTTTTTTAATTATATGCTTATTAAAACAAGTGGTCAGTGGGCACAGCTATATTATAGCACATTAATGGTCTTGCAAGAGACTCATTCACAAAAAATCTTACAATCAAAAAGGTTGAACAGCCTAAGATAAGTGATGCATTTTCAATCTATGATAAAATATTGACCTAGATATATGGATATATAAAGATTATATTTAATCTCAGGTGGTATTTGTTTATCAACTGATTATCAAACCTTATCAAACCTCCACATTCCACATTCTTTTTATAGGTCTTATGAGTTAATGTCATACAGACAAATCACTATAGATCAGAGGCAGCTAAGTGAGTTGGTCCAGGGTTTCGATCCTAGCATAGGTTCAGATACAAGATATACCTTGGGAATTTTAAGCCCAGTTTCCACTTCTGTCAGTGATGTAGGTCAGAGAAGTGTCTGGTTGTTTGTGAAAAATCCTTTGATAACAAATATTTTTTTGTATTTGACTCATTTATCAAAATTATATAGCTTATGGTTACTTGTGGCTGACTTACAAATTTGTTGGAAAACTTCGGGCATATCCATTCTTTTTTCGCCAAATGGATATCCAACATTAAGGTTCCACCTGGTTATATTTTGACAAGTAAGAACATGAAATATATTCAGTAAGAATACTAAATGTTCTAATTCAACAAGGCTCAGGGCAATTCATATTTTATATCAATTTTATTACAACAGGTATTTGATAACAAAGCTATAGGCTTAATGTTACTATTAATATTTCAGAGCTTTTTTTAAAAATAGAAATTGTCATATATCATAACTAACTTCAAAATAAAATCTTGAAATACTAATTGTAGATTTACTGCATATGACACAATGCAGTGTACAGTGAGTTGAACTTTGCGAAGACTGCAGAACTTATGTGTTTAATTGCATGTTCAGTGTAGTACACTAGACCTTGAATTTATGATCTGATGCTTTTGCCATGTCAGACTCTCCCAATGTACAGAAATCCAAATGTGCTGCATTGATCTAGTTCCCTGATTAACTGCTTTTTCAATTAAATCTAAAGAACATGTTGCCAAGTCATCATTATCACTTTTGTAATTAGCCCTATTATATGTTTGAAGATTTCACATCAAAACTAAACTCGACTCTCCATTCTAAAATTCATTTTCACTTCTTGTGCTTACTTATGCTCATATTTCTTAAGTTTAGAGAAGTTTATCCCCATTGCCAATAAAGCTGTCCTGATGAAGATTGTTAATCGGAAACATGTGTTGGCAGCATGAGATGAGATTGTCAATTAAGAATGTCATTTGAGATAACTTGGCTGGTTATTTCAGTCAGATCATACTTAGAATAAATTTATGATAAATTTGTCAATTAACATGTTAAAATTAACGACAACTTTTAGACAGAAAAATTAGATAACAAAAACATTAGACAGGGTCAACCGGACATTTATGATTAATATCAATCAATATGCTAAAATAATAACATTAGACCTGGTCAATTGGTCATTTTTGATGACAATCAGTCAATATGCTAAAATCAACATTAATTATTGACCATTAGTTTCACAATTAATGTGGGGATTTCAATCAAACTCGATTCTTAATCTGATAAAATCTGATAATCAGATTAAAATTACCATCTTGACTTTTCAACCCATTTACTCATTCAATTATGAATATTAAGATTCCATATGTTTTTCAAAAGACTAAGTCAAAAAAAGATATAGTTATTTGTAGTCAAATACTTGGCATGAGGCATCAATAAAACAACCAAAATTTGATTAACTTCAGAAATATTACGCTTGAAAGCATACACCAACATTTTCAAAGCACATTTTTTCCAAAAAGCGTTAAAATTCTAAATATATCTCTGAAACACAATGAGAAATAACAGTTCTTCCGAAATGACAAAATTTGTATGAGAAATTTGCCATTTGCTAATCAACAATATCTTCATTTGAAATAATTCAAAAACATGTACATGTATATTTGTTTCAGGATGAAAATTAAGATTGCAAACTGTGTGTACTAATTGCATAAAAAAAAAAGCAGAGAACTAAGTAAATCTGTATTTGGATCCTACCTTTTCATGCATGTTTATACCTAATCCTTAACACCTGTAGATCTTAGATCAACTACCTATATGAACTTCTTAGTCATCTTTCAATCACACAGACTAAACTGTCATCTTACTATATAGTAGTTTATTAGTGACTGTTTTTCATATTTCACTGTCAATATACATCACATCTATAAACTGATGGTTTTAACCATAGATCATACTCAAATAGTAAGATTGAACAATGGGGTGACATGTGCTGCCCCTTTGAAATATCATCTTTAGGCAAATCTTCTAAAGGGATTATTTTTTTTAAGTCTTTGAGAAAATTGAATAAAGACGAAGCAATGAAATTTTTAAAATTTCAGAGAGCCAGTTGGATTGGTTGAAACTTACAAGATACATGTAGGTTATCACAGGTGCCATTCAATAAGTGTCTTTCCACTGATAAACTGATTCATATTTCTACCTTATCTAATATTCATGTGTATTATTCAGATGACCTCTATTCAAGGTCAAATACCTGCACACAAAATCATAATAAATTCTAGTCTTATTGGTGAATTTTACAACTGTCTTGTAATTAGATGGAAAGTATGTCAACTGCTGGATTGAAAGCATAAAGTTCAAAAATTGTTCACACCTAAAAGTGAATTTCTGTATAATTTAGCAGATTGGTTTGCAAAGAGCTGCAGATGGTTGATAAAGCTTCAAAAGAAAATACAAGGATTAGATTACAAATGACACCTTGTACCAGTCACCTTATCCTGACAGAAATTCAGGTATCAGGATAATAATGCAAGAAAACACATAGACAGCAACACAATACTGAACTATTGACCTCCATGGGTGGAGAACTGGTCAAAATACAGGTGTGTCTGGTATCAAAACATAAAAACATAGGTCTGGTATGAAATAGGGTGTGGGTTGGTAAAATTATCTAAATGTTTATCTTTTTTCATAACCACAAAACAAAATCCATCACGTAAGGTGGTGCTGATAATGTTACATTATGCCTGCAACAGGAGCTCATGAATTTGTACAAACATCGTACATTTACATTGGCAATTCTACAAATTTTTCAGCAGATTGGTTCTTTTGGCAGGTCTGAGGTATATCATATTAGAAATCCTCGATTCTGTTTTATTGAAGAAATAATAATTGATATCTTTAACACAGAAGCAAGGAGTCTCAAAAATAATTTACTTTATTGACTTTCTCATTAATTTTTAAATCAAAAACAATTCAGATATTTCCAACAATTTTCCTTATAAACTTCATTGGCCAATGTGAGACTAAGTTTGAAATCTGATCTAAGGGTCGTATGGTTAATCTCCAGTGTATGTTTGTTAAGATAGGTAATAAGAAACGTGTATACTGTACAGTAGAATGATAGGACAACAACAGATTATCTTGATATCATATTCTTAACCTGTTTGTTCAACTAAAAAACCTCTTTCAGTACAATAAAACTGTCAACTGTCCATTACTTTAGACTATATGAGAGAATTTCACTATCTCTTCTTACATTGTATAGAGGAATGCTGAGGCTTCTATTACAGCTGTGAATAAGGTGTGTGCATCTCCATGGATGAAGCATAGACAAGGTTATTTTGTAGAATTCTTATAAACCCTCAACCCTGGAACAATATATACCCAAGCATCTGGTAAACCCACTGTTACTAAATGACGTCATACAACATTGTCGTTAAATTATTCATTTTATTTTCAGATTCCAGGACAACAAGTGTAAACATTACTTTTTATTACTGATGTTTCAGTGAGAGATTTACTAAAGATAAGTATAAATCCTAGTTGAACAGAGGCCAACTGTTTGACTGTTTGGTTGAGTAAGATATAATAAAGATCAATTGTTCAGTGTTACACATCACATATTTCTATTTAATACAACTTCAAGATTTTATCGGTATCTATAAAGTATTGAATGAAACAGTCATTATTTTTTCAATCAAATTCAGATAAAGTTTTTCACTTTGAACCTATTGGTATATGAAATCTTCAAAATTGAATCAAATATCAGATGTACTAGAAGATGCTAAGATTGCCTCAGTACTCAGAGAGCTGGTGAAAAAACGTCATATGGATCATCTGGGTTATAAGTTTAAAAAATTACAATGTGATTGTCATTTGCATGTCCGAAAAAACTTCCTCCTGGTTAACACCTGAGATTTTTTGAGGATGGAATCTTGCTACACTTTCAGAAATCAAAGAAGTTATCAGAATATTTCTGGCCAGATAAGAATTTTACCACACATGCAAAAAGCGTGACCCTGTACAGTGATTTTTTTTTAATAAGAAATGAACCCAGCTGCCATAACTAACAGTTTAACAACTAAAAAAGAAATCCATTTAACTTTCTTTTGTCCAAAATAGTTGAAGCACAACATTCTTTAGAAACCAAAAAGAATTTTATCATCTCTTAATATACATTGTATTTTATTACAAAATAACTTGTATTTAGTTTAATTCAGCTAAACAATTGAATCACTGACCCAAACTGGTGCTAAATCACTAGTAAATTAACACACAGGCATCATTTTCTAGATTTATATTCTTACATGTTCATAGTTCTAGAGAGAGATAGCTTGCTTTGGTTCCAGTGTTTTGCAAACCAACACTTTCTTCATCTATATTCCTTAAAAAGAGAATTTTCCAGAGCTGTGACAAGATAAAACTGAAGACCAACAGATTCTTGACAATCATCTATCTGCTG